ACGCTGAACTGTTGTGAGAATAATCACCACGGCTTGGCTGCTTGAAGAATGTATAGAATGAACAGTGTTGAATTAACCAAACGAAGCAAGAATCATTAGTTCAAACCATGATTAAACTAACAGATCAAGAGCTTTTAGTCCAAATTAACTAAACAACCATCCGAGTTTGATAACACTAGGACGCCATAGTAATAGTTGTTGCTAGTTGATGAGCATGCTGCGGTGTTACAAAATAATGCTTACCCCCTCCATCGATAAAAGAATGTAATTATAGGATCCGTGCCAGTCAAAGTATTTCAAGTTTGACCGAGTTTATAATAAATAATATTAACATTTATTTCTCCAAACAAAATTTATTATGAAAATCTAATCTATAACCAATCTAACGATACTCACTTTATATCATGAATGATAATAGTTTTTTATATAAATTTAGTCAAAGTTTAAACTGTTTAACTCCTCGAAAAGCGAAAATTGCATTATTTTCAGGACGGAGCGAGTACTTACCTTTGCTACTCTCACGAAGACAACCACAAGAGAGATGGAGTTTAATTAGGCAGGCAGTATTGTTGTTTAATTTATGGTCATCTCCTGCATGGGCACGAACATTCTTATTTATGCAGATATATACATCAGCATATCTGCGCATGTAAGCGCAAAGCGCAGCACTCAACTATAATCGATTGCTTCACTCTTGATTTATAAATGTAGCGTCTAGCGTATATAGTTTGTGCGGATAACCTTTGTTATCAACATCCGTTCAGACAAATAAATACCTGAGGGACTCGCTGTCTACTAGTTATTGTATTTTCAAGCTTAAAATGCTACAATTACAAGAAGATTGAGTGTGGAAATGTGACATTATCACGTCATTTTAGAATCAACCTAGTCCTGTTTCGTCCTTTTATCTTCTACAACTAAACAGAACAAGGTGTTGATATTTTTTGATGCGATATTTGTTTTGCTTCGTCCATCTGTCCACGCCTGCGATCCCACGACATCTTAATTACTGATTGATCGTGCCATTCTCCTTGATTGAATATTGCCTGTCATGTGATAGAGAAATCTCGACAAAATAGGAAGTAGAAAATTATTGTGCTATCCATATACACATTGCATGTTTGCATGCACCAGCATACATGGCAACGAGCAAAAAGAAAGAGAATTAACACAGAAGGAAAGAGAATTAAGACAAAAGAAACATCTTTGCATTTCTGAGAATCTTGACAAATCTGCCTACATTTAATTACTCCCCTCTTTGCATTTGCAAAAGGACAGCTTTTTCCTCATTTCATTTGGTTTCACGCTCACGTGTTCCATCGCCCTCGCTTGTTGTTTCTTGCGTGAACCATAGTTGATGTCATCTGTCTTCCATGGCTCAGCCTCCCAATCCCAAGAGAAGGTCCCTACCTCTCCCTGACTGAAGATCCAGCCTGCTAGAGGATTTTCTCGAGTCCATCGGGCAGCGTCTCGCGTCAAGCTACGACGCGGCGTCCTTCCGATCCGCTTGCTCCCCATGGCGCGCCGCCGTCCCGTTCGTAACCTTCGAGCCACTCCTGTTGCTCCCGTTCGACCCCGACTCGGACCGCGTCGACTTCTACTACGTCCCGGAGAAGAAGGTCTTGTCCAGACGCTGCCCGACGTGCGCGGCAAGGTGACGTGCGGCTCCTCGTGTGGGTGGCTGGCGCTCATGGACGAGGCGGCGTCCGTGACGCTGCTGAATCCATTCGCCGGTGCCCGTGCCCCCCGCGTTGAGCTCCTGCCAGCAAGCGAACACGTCGTGGCGGCGTCCTCATCGAAACGCGTGTCTAGGGTCCATGGCCAGTGGGTCCTCCATCCCACCAACGGCTACGGGGATGCGGATGCCGTAGGTAGAGCCATCAAGCTAGAAGACATGAGTGACGTGTTCTTCCGTGAGATCATGCTCTCGGCGCCGCCTAACGCCGCCGGCCACGAGTGCGTGGCCATGGCCATGCTTGGGTGCTCCACGGAGGTCGCGTTCTGCCGGGTTGGAGTCGACAGCGCATGGACGCTGCTCGACACCAAACTGGAGTTCTCCATGGGGTCCATCATTCACTGCCAAGACAAGTTCTTGGCGATCGACTGCACTGGAGAAATCTCCGTCTGCAGCGGCAACGCCGCCGGCTCTACTCCAACCGCGACGCTGCTGCCATCGCTGTCGCCACCTGCGGGGCTCTACCACCGCAGCTACCTGAAATCAAACGGTGAGCTGCACATTGTGGGTGCCATGGTGACCACGTTCCACGAGACACAGAGCTTCACCTACAGCAGCGCGATCTACAAGTGCAACCTCCACGACCGTACGCCGGAGTGGTATAGGGTGAGGAACATCGGTGATCAGACACTGTTCGTGCAAGTACAAGGAGCACACTGAAGCTTACATTTTAATGAAAGCTTTAGTGGAACAAGTGTATCCAAGTATAAGGAGAACAAAATCTACATGTCTGAGCCACTGTATGGGGATCCATACGACTTGGTCCATCGACTGAAGATTGTTGATATTGCTACCAGCGCATCCGAAGTGAAGCCCATCCAGGAAAAGATGCAGGGTTTCGAGGCTCTAGGTTGGATTCGACCCAATCTCTGGAAGCTCTAGAGTTTGTGAGCCTGTGACGCCGCGCACTCCGCGACTATGTTAAATTCATAAACTTTGCTTTTTGGATTAAATGTCAGTTTAACGTTGGTATTTAATTTAACAGTATTGTTATCTTATCGTACGATCCATGTATTTTTAGTATAAATTGTTAGTTATCCCGTAGCAACGCACGGGCACGCTACGTAGTTTTTCCATAAGGCTACAATTCGTATGCCAAAAGTCCACCAAAAATAATTTGACCTTCCTAATGATTGCTCTACATCTGTTAACCACCTCCGGAATGAAGGTTCAGGACACCGAAAATACTTCGTGTCAAATAGTGGTTAGCATATTCTCCCCAAGATAGCCGTAGGGCTCCCCTAGACAACCACCGTCCACGTTACTCCCATTTCCATTCTCCGTCTGATCTTCTAATCGACGGCCAAGATCTCGTGAAGCCGGTTCCGTCGGGAGCGGCTTCTCAAACATCTCGTGTGATTCTCCAGCTACTCCGCTGCATCTCTAGCTTCTCATCCGAATCCAGAGAAAGAAATATATATGCTGACTTCTGCTTCTCTTCCCCACGCTTCTGCTTCTGGATCCTTATCCTCTTCTCTCTCCCTCTCCTCTCCTCTCTCGTGAGCGACTTGGCGCAAGGCAGCCCAATGCCTCCCCCAAGACACAGGCGGCCACCCTCATTCTCCTCCACGCCCCTTCCTCCTCGCGCCGCAATGGTGGGGCGACAGCGGCCCTCCTTAGGTGCTGCGTCGGTGCTGCGGTTCGCCGTCCCCGGCCGCGACGAGCCCCCACGGCGGCGGTTCGTGGGCACGCCGCCACCGGGCGGTCCCTACCAGTGCTCCCCGGCGCGGCTCCCCTGATGCGGCATCGTCTCGCCAGGCGCCGCGTCTTCTTCTGTGCTCCATGAAACCCTAGGTGCCTGTCTCTTCCTCTCTCCCTCTCCCTCTCCTCTCCCTCTCCCTGCAATGATTTTGGCTGATAGTTTCACTGAGTTACTGTCCGAATCCATCAATTGCATGCTGCAATTTAGACCCTATTCTAAGTTATAGGCAACACTGAATTTTTGTTAGTAAATACTAACCATGTACCAATTGACACCGACTGGGTGTTTTCTTCATTGATTTGTGATATTGAGATGGCTGATGTAGGACGATAGTTGAGGTGTTAATGGATCCAGAGATCAGGCTCTACACGAAATCACATTTACAAGGAATTGCAATATGTTAATCGGCCTGCTCAAACGAGTTACAAATTACATGTCATGTGCTGCTGCTTGCTTCCTTACTATGAAAAGTAAAACAGGAAGTGTTCGTAGCATTCTTAATTTCTTGCTCCACAAACCTGGTGTTACTACTTTACTCTCTATTTACTGTGCCTTCAATTGAGCGTTTATGGTACTGATTCTAAAATTTTCAACCAACTTTCAGCTTGTATGTCTCTGAAACATTGTTTTATTAATTGCCAACTGTTGCCATAGCTGCAAACACTGACATTTTTTACATCCATAGTAGTTCAAATGATTTCTCAAGAAGCCTAGAGAGAAAATAAACATTATTTTGCGGTTGTTTATCATCTTTTAATGCTCCCTTTGTAATCACAGATTTCAGCAGCTCGGTTTAGCTGCCCCTCTTGGTTTTTAGCTGGAGCCAAAAACCTGATTAGCAGAATTCTTAATCCCAATCCTACGGCTGATACAGGTCTTTTAATCTATTTCTCTAATACTTTCTTTGTCCGGTCACTTCACCTAACAAACAAGTATACATGAAAGATAAGCTGCAGATTTGTTGAGATAATCCATGGCGTAAGAGGAACCCGCAATTCCTGATAGTATTTTTTTTTTAAAAAATCAAACATAAATAATGACTGTATGAATCTTACATTTTGTACTGTTACTTTTTCTGCCATTTCGGAATCCTAAAATATAAAATTTATATATATTAGTTGCCTCTTGCGTCAAGCAGAAGCTAAATAAGCATTTCCATGCTGGAATAGTGGGCTTTCTGTGAAGCGGAATGTATTTGTACATATGCTTAGTCCTGACTCTGCATGGTAATGGTAACACGAGCATACAAAACGGAGGGGACCAGTTCAGCAAAAAGTGTAGTACTCCGCAGACCATGAGTAGTTGATCATGCTCTGCTACATAAAACATGGGTAATTGCTCATGAAATTTACACTTTCCAAGTTTTGGTATGGACAGAGTGTACGCCTCCTTTACTAACCCTACTACTCCTGTACGTACATCGTTCGTTGCTATTGCATTAAAAAAGTGACACGGTGAGTCACCCGATGAAAAGGTGCCAGCATGCAACTGCGAAGAAGCAACCGAAGACGAGGAGGCGGCAAAACGCCATGGCAGCAGTGTGCCGTGCGTCGTGGGCACGCGTCATGACTCGACGGCCTCCGGGATGCTCTGCAGCGCGGGCTTCCAGTGCGCCGCCTTGCAGTGTTGGAGATGGTGGTAGACCTGGCCGGCGTTCATGACGTCCGCCAGCAGCTGCGCGGCGGCCCGGCGTCTCTTGAGGCCGTGGAGGCCACCGGCCCTCTTCTCCATCAGCTCCTGCAGCTGCTTCCTGGTGATCCTGATCGTCACCTCCGCCGCCGCCGCGTGGTCCTTCCTCCCACTGGTCCCGGCGGCGGCCGCCGCCTCCTCCTCCTCGGCCGCCGACGGCACGTCCCACTCGCCGTCGTCCGCCCACGACATCACCGCGTGCTGCGTCACGGCGCAGTTGCCCATGGATTGATGGATACGCGCGCGCGCAGCACGTACGGGTCCTTCCTCCTCTTCTTGTCCTTGCTCAGTCGTCGTCGATGTTGTCGCCGGCAGCGCCCGCTGTGCTGCTGCTGCTGCGTAGCAGATGAGATTAGGTTGGTGGTCTTTGTGCGACCGGCTCGGTCGGGACGGGAGTTTTTATAGTTTGAGGGAACGGCGACTCGGGGAGGCAGGCGCGACCGTTCCCCGGCGCAGTGCACCTAACGTTCGCGCGGCACCGGACTCCGACGTGGCCATGTAAGTCCTGCGTGGACGCCGAGTTGGAAAGTGGCGCCGCGGGGTCCACGGGTCTGAACGCGGAGGCGCGGGGGATCTCGGGCGGGTGGGAACGCGGCGTTTCCAGGGGATTCCCCTGCGCGGCACGGGCCAGAAGAGCTGCGCTGAGCGCTGGTGAGTGGTGACAACACGGCGCGTCGGCGTCAGCCAGCACCCAGAGTTGCTTAGCCGCGGCGCGCGCGCTTGGTTTTGCGGCTGGGACACCGTACCACCACATGCGGCATGCCGTGTCGCCGCAGCCCGCAGCGGCCTGTTTCGATCGTTGGCTCCGTGGCGGGTGCCGCCGGTGTGGTGCATCGTGTCCATTCGCATGTGCCTCCGAGTAGATTTCGATCGGTTAGCAGTGCCAGTCCCTGCAAGTTCTGGGCACGTTCGTTCCATCGGTGACTTAGCTGCCAAGGACCCAAGGTCGTCACATGCAAGAGCGAGCTGGATGTCGATGCACATTGTCCTGCTGGTGATTATGGCTACTACTAGCTGCACCATGAACTCATGATGACTCCAATAGTTTAATCCGTGTAGCATAAGTATTACTACTGCATTAGGTTATGGTATGGAAATGGCAGATGTTGCCGTTCTGCAGGTACCCAAGGACGACGACGACCCCTACATTGTAGAGTTAGCAACCAGAAACGAGAAGCCGACGTGCGAGCTAACAGCTGAGATGAGCGATCCGCGACCTACCGTTCTGCTTGCACGGTTGGTACATAGGATGGGAAAACACTGTCAGGTACTCAGGTTGCGGTTGGCCACTTGGCCCTGCCTGCGTAGCTCGACCGAGTGAGCAGCCAGCCGCCAGCCGCCAGCCAACGGGCTCGAGCTCCATCGGTGAGGCGTACATTTCTGCGTTCCTGTTCCGTATGACGCCATCGGACGCGACGCATCTCGATAAGTTTTGTAGCGGTGTCTGGGTCACTGGGTGGATAGGATGAACTGGCAGGTCGATCCAACTTGTACGTGCGCACAAGTGACCACCCGCGGCGTACGTCAGGGACCAGTTGACTTGGTCAATTGGATGATGGCGCCAACGAAACTAGGGGCGAACAGCAGAAGTCGTCTAGTACAATTCTATCTGGCCTCCTGATACAAAGTGTTACGCATCTGAGAACGTTCCCACGACGGAAACCGCTCCCGCTCCCATCTCCCGCTCTCGTTCGAACCATCGGCGCCATGGGCGGTTGCCTGCGTGTATCTCCCCATGGCGTCCGTACGGATGTATAAATATACATCACGGATCAATGAAAGATCTCACTGGTTCATTTGCAATACAGAGTGTTCCATTTACATTCCAACTTTCACACGTTATTAGCACGACGCTCGCAAATCTGCGCTCTCGAGAGGGAGTTCAAAAGGAGTAGAAGGCCGGCGAGAAGGCCGACGAGATCGAGTTCGTGAAGAAGATCCAAAGGTACCATGCCTCCACTGCGCTACGTACTTCCGGCGATCCTCGTCATCGATCTCGTCTTCTTGGTTCTCCACCACGCCATCGACATGGGGATTCCGTTCAACCACCACTACATCCGCGCCGAACTCCTGGACACCTTCCGCTACCTCTTCGGTGAACGCCAAGCCGGTGAACGCCGGGTCGGTGAATGACGGGGAAGGGGAAGGGGAAGGGAAGGATCGCGGACTTCGGATGCGAGTTGGCGGTCATGGTGGTCGTCGTCACGCCGTCAATGCTCCAGTGGCCCCTGCGCCACCGCCAGGACCAGTTTGCCCCGAGCACGCGCCAGGACCATGTCCGCCATGGTTGCCGCCGTACTGCGTCGAGCACGGCCCCAGGCCCGGCCCCTGCCCGCTTCGAGCGCCTCCTACCCCGCCAGCCCCGGATGCCGTATTAAGTTTTCCAGCTTTCCATACAAGCACTTAATATTTCATGCAAATGCTTTAGGTTGATTTTCTCTTAATTTTGGAATAACATTAAGTTTCTCAACTCTGATATTGGCCATACACAAGGTAGTACCCTAGTACTACTGCGGGATTTATTCCTCAACGTGCATACCCAATATCAAGTTTGAAAATAATTTGGTCTACACTTTTTGATGACTACCTTTATTTATTTTTAAATTGGCCATACACAAGGTAGTACCATAGTACTACTGTGGGATTTTCATCCTCAACGTGCATACCCAATTTGATTATAAATTATATAAGGTCTACACCTAAGTGATTACCATGTAATTCCTTTTCGCATTGGCCATACACAAGGTAGCACCATAGTGCTATTGCGGGATTTCATCATCAAAGTGCGTACCCAATGATGAAAAATGAATTAAACTATGTTATTCCACAAATGGAGAATGTCCCTCTATTTTAAGTTTACCTTGATTAATTGCATTTTGCATTGCTTATTCAACATTGCCAGAGAATTTTAACAAATCTATGGCCCTGCATATGTAGGCACAATGTCCACCAAAGAGTTCGTGTCTCTCGCTCTTGATGGCCGCAACTTCCCCACGTTGGTGATGGATCTCAAAGTGAGTCTATCGTTGCGTGGAATGTACGAGGCAATTGCCCCTCCTCAAGAGGGTGTAGCCCCATTGACGGCGCCTCTCAAGTACAATGCCTTATTCATCATAAGGAACCACATCCATCCGGATCTCAAAGCTGAGTATCTGATGGAGGAAGACCCATGCGCTCTATGGCTTGCTCTTCAAACATGGTATGAACAGCAAAAGGCAGTCATCCTACCAGAGGCTATCAATGAGTGGAACCATCTCCGTCTACAAGATTTTAAATCTGTGGGAGAGTTCAACCATGATGTTCATAAACTCAGTCCTAAACTGAACTTTTGCGAAAAGGAGCCAACTGATGTGGAGAAAATTGAGAAGACATTGTCTACCATGCTTCCCGCACAGATGGTCCTTCAGCAACAATACCGTGAAAGAGGTTTCACTGTTTATTCTGAGTTGATTAAGACATTACTTCATGTAGAAAGGCATAATGAGCTCCTACTTTGGAACTCCAACTTGCGTCCCGTGGGTACTAAGCCTTTGCCAGAAGTACATGCTAACACTCCAAACAAGCAGCAAAGGAATGCTACTAACTCTAGCAATCCTGAAAACTTCAAAGGGAAGAACAAGCGCAAGAGACAACATAAGTCTCGTGGTGCTAACAAGGGAATGGATGTTTCTAATTCGAACAATAAGAAGCCTAACAAGTCTAGCACTTGTGACAAGTGTGGCTGCTACAGCCACCCGACTCAGAAATGTCGCACCCCTAAGCATGTGGTGGAATTGTACTTGAATTCCGTGGGACGAGGATGCTCCAATCAAGGAAGTTCCAATCAAGGTGGACAATTTGAAGCACACTTCAACTCCCAACGTGATGTCAACATGGAACAAGCTTTCTGACTTGACATTCCTATGCAAGATGTCCCTAGGTGCTCATACACCGCTCCTACGGGAACAAACAACACCAAGGCACTGCCACCACCTGATGGGAACACTGCTGATGAGGAGAACATGATCATGGAGTTTGCATCTGGCGACATCTTTGGAGACTTTAACTAGACTCCTACACTTTGAGATAGCTTGCTACCTTATGTTGTTATTGTGGATGATGTTTGATTGTGGATGTTGTAATAGGCTAGTCGTTGTCTGTACTTGATAAAGCACATTGGGTATTGTAATTTGTATTATGCACAATTGATACCTATATGTATTGTATGTAATCTATATATATTTGTTGAGAATTACATGTTCAAATTCTCCATTTTGTATAGATTGTACGGGAGTCAATCTGATGGATGAGGAAATGTACCTAGTGGACAGTGGTACCACTAACTCTATACTCAGGGAGATAAAATATTTCCAAACTCTCACAAAGAACAAAGGAAATGTTTTAACAATCGCTGGAAGTAATGCTGTAATAGTTGGCACCGGTCGGGCCACTATTATGCTCCCTATGGGTACATCGCTAACAATTGAGGATGCATTATTGTATCCCGATTCAACGCGTACCCTATTGAGTTATAGAGATATCCGTAAGAATGGGTTCCATGTGGAAACTCATGCAGACAACAATGAGGAGTTTCTTCTCATTACAAAAGATCACGGATATGGCAAAGAGACACTTGAAAAAGTTCCCTCACTCCCATCTGGATTGTACTACACATACATTAAACCCGTACCACATATTACTTACAAAGCAATTTTCCATAATGTTAACGCATTCCAAACTTGGCATGATCGCCTTGGCCATTTTGGCATCGGGATGATGAGGAAAATTATAAGCAATTATGTTGGTCAAACTTTAAGTGATGCAAAAATTCCCCAATCCTAAGATTTTGTGTGCACCGCATGTGCCATGGGGAAATTAATTTTGAGTCCCTCTTACCTCAAAATTCGTGCCGAACCTCTAAAGTTCCTTGAACGCATTCAAGGTGACATATGTGGTCCCATTCAACCATTGTCTGAGCCGTTTAGGTATTTCATGGTTCTTATAGATGCATCTACACGATGGTCTCATGTGAGTCTCCTCTCCACGAGGAACCACATATTTGTTAAGATTGTTGCACAAGTTATCAAACTTAAAGCACAATATCCTGAACATCAAATACAATCTATCCGAATGGATAATGCTGCTGAATTTTCCTCACATGCCTCCAATGAATATTGCATGGCCTTAGGAATTCAAGTTCAGCACTCGGTCCCATATGTTCATACTCAAAATGGGTTAGCAGAATC